ATATTATTTTTTAAATATTTTTATTATAAAATCGATTCGAACCATTATTTTTGAGAAGAGAATATCCCTTACGTGACTAGAATCGCTTCACCTTAACCGAAGAGTCAAGTTCAAACATAAAACATATTTCATTAAAAATATTTTAATAATTTTAACAATCAGACCGCACAACTAATGTGCAATTCGCTCTCAAAAATACTTTTTTTTTGAAGAACAAAAATTTGGATAACAAAAATGGGAGGAGAGCGAAGAGGACGGCTTCCTTTTAAGCTAAGTATCTAGGATCAAACATTTGTGTTGGATTCTTCTTCCTTCGTATTCTTTGTAATGGTTGCTGAATTTTGAGTTATTGTTAATATTTTCGAATTGGGTATTTGTTAGATTTGAAGGAGATTACGTCTCTGATGGACACTGGTGCATATGCACCCGAAAATTAGGCGAATTGTGCGAGCCGTGAGGCTTACCGTGGCGATCCGGCGCAAACTGAAGGCACCCGTGCTCTCTGCTTTCCTCAATTCGCTCTTCCTCCGGGATGTGAGGCGCATAGTAGGTTGTCTTCTTATCTTCCAAAGGTAAAGCTTCAGGCTTTCTGTATTGAGCGATTCGTGTTGAGAAAAGTGATTATTTTGAAAGCGTAAGGTTGTAGCAGTTGTTATGATGCGTGTTCATCAATTTGGAAACTTGTGTGGATTGCATTCTCAAACATTTCATTGCTCAACATTGGTGATAGGAAGATGAGCATGATATGGAAGTTGATACTGCTACCTCTTCGCTTCAAGCTCCTGCAAAACATCCATTGCCGGAGCTGGAAATCTACTGCTACTTGCTTGTCTTGATATTTCTGATTGATCAAAAGAAGTACAACGAGGTGAGTGAACGAATTGCTTCATCAAGGATCTTTTTCTGTTTCTTTTACATAAGTAACATAACAATCGTTGTTTTAGGCAAAAGCTTGCTCATCTACAAGCATTGCTCGGCTGAAAACGTGAATAGGAGGACTGTTGATGTTCTAGCTGCTAGGCTTTACTTCTACTACTCTCTCAGCTATGAACTTACTGGTGATCTTGCCGAAATTAGAGGGTAATTTCTTTTTCGCTATTTTCCTTTTTAAAGAAATCCTAGTGTGCCGTGGATTGTGTTCTTATTCGGAAGAGAAGCACAGCATTAGATTCTATCTAGTCTGACAAAAATGCTGATTACTGACAGTAACCTTCTTTCCCTGCACCGAATTGCAACATTGCGTCATGATGAGATGGGACAGGTAAAAGTTTCAACTATTTAAACGGTTTAGTCTATGTTGCCAGGGTTTTGGCCATATTTGAATGTTTTTCTGATTCAGGATACACTTCTCAACCTGCTGCTTCGCAATTACCTCCATTACAATTTGTATGATCAAGCAGAGAAACTGAGGTCAAAGGCACCAAGATTCGAAGCACACTTAAACCAGCAGGCAACTCTCTGTTTACCATATCTTTTTATTTTTAGTATTATATCTCATATGAAATTATTTCTCACATTGTTTGAATTAGACTTGTGGAATTTTCCACTGTCCAAAAAT